ATGCACAATGACTCAAAAAGAATTTCCCCCATAGAGAATAATTTTAAAAAGAGGATGATTACATTTTTCCAAACTTCACAAATCCAGTGAAATGACTTTAAAAAAAATCTGAATTCATTTAATTGGATCCAATATCATTTGTAAAGTCTTGTAGTGTTGTAGTCGAGTCACTAAACCTTGAGTCTGAGTCACATCTCAAGTCACCAGTGTCCAAGTCTGAGTAAAGTCCTAGTCACCAAAGAATAATTTGACTTGAGTCCCTGTTACCCGAGTCATAGTCACCAAGGTCAACATTAAACACAAATGATACAACTCTCAACATTTTTTAATCCAAATATTCTAAGTGTATTGCATCACTATACTGCTCAGCAATTTCATACATAAAATCATTTATTGGTGGAGTGTATCCACCAGTCTGCTGGATACTGCATGGTGCCGGTGAGCAGGTTTTAATATCAGTATCTTAGGCCAAGTTATTATGGTCTTTTACAAAAACATCCAAGTCCATATGTGGTCAACGCTTAAGTTCGAGTCTAAGTCCAAGTCATCAGTGCTCAAGTCCAACTCAAGTCTGAGTCCTGGACTTAAGCACTATAACACTGGCCATAAAATATTTTTATTTTATCCCATATGTGTGAGCTGGCTCTTCCAGTAGGAGGCTCAACTTGTCAGAAGTGCCCATGCTCTATGGACCCCAAAGTGTGGAATCATAAGGAACATCCAGGTAATTTTTATGGCTGGAATCTAGAAACACAAAGAATATTTTGCACCAGTGATGTTAAAGTTACAACACTGTTTAAAATACAAACAAGTAGGCTATGTAAGCTAAGGGTGAAACAGGGCCTTATAGCAGCATGGCGCACGTTTAAGATCCCCTTCACACAATTTTCATTTTAAAATGAGTCCACTGGAAGCATTAACATGAAACATGTTCATTGAGCTAAGTTAGTCTAATTGACTAGCTTGCTTTAGCTCATAGAATCTGGTGGCAGCAGATTTCATTTCATTTCGACAAAATCAGTGTTCACTGGTTTGAAACAAAAAGCCTGTTTTTATCTACCTGTTTAAAATCACTGCTGCATAGTTTTTCAAAAAAGCTGTAAATTTAATAAATCAGCTACTGTTATTGTAAACTTCATAAGAGCAATGTACTGAAAGCTTTACAGACATGAACAATAATTTATAATTAATTGACCCTATTATATAAACGTCTGCAATTTTCTCACATCAAAATATGGCAACAAAAGAACAAGTGTACAGATTATTTATAGTAATTGTTTTTAAGTGGCAGGAAGGGACATTTTTAGTTGAACTCTCCTGCGAAATGGGTGCCAATTTAGGTTTTGTATATATTATATTTCAATTATATGAATGCCATAACTGAAGATTGTACCTGCAGTGGATTAATTAAGACCCTATTTTGAATTGAGTCTGGGTTTTCAGCTTACATTTTCTGAAGTGTTTCACAGTGTTCAGTTTTGTATGTGTATGTCTGTTTGTGTGTCTGGGAGTGTAGATGTACAATATGTACCTGATGGTGTTTGCGTATGTCTGTGGGTGTTTGTGTGTTTGATATTTGGAGCGGTTGCCATGCTGACAGGACCCCCTGTATAAATTGGGGAGACAGAATTATAGATTTGGAAGGTCTCTTTCTGTAACAATGTTTGGACCAACGTCAGTCAAAACTGCACTATAAGTCATAGCTCTCTGTCAATATACAGCATTATGTGAAAGTGATCACCTAAACTGTATGTTTCCCTTTAAACATGTTTTGGCCCTAAACCTAACATGCCTAGTAATTTTTTTCTTTGCAATTTAGATGTCTTGATGATTCTTTTATGTTTAATTTTCAATTCAACACTATTTGTAGTTTTCCAGATGCTGGACGTAAGGGTTCAGTACCAAAATGTGTTTGTTTAAAGATACATTCCAAAGATACAATCATGAAACATGTTACTGTTTTTGATTCACAGCTCCATATTGGAATGCAATAGTAAGAACTTGTAATTCTGGCAAGCATATTGTATTCATGTTTGTCCTAGTGGGCTCATGAAACCCTTTCAAAACCATCAGACAAACCTAACAGTGTATTGTTATACAGCCAAATGCAGTGAAAGACTGTTCTCATCCTTTTTTAGTGACTGTAGATCTGTAGTTACACACAGTTGCAGGGATAAACCATTCAGGCTTAGTCAAGATGAAACCTGATTTGTACGCCTTTTTGTTTTTGTTGTTGTTTTCTATGAGTATAGTCATGTGAAGTAATTTTAAGAAGTAGAGGCGGCAGAGTTTTGTGGTGACCACCTGCTTCCCTTAGTTTTACCAGGGCAACTAAAGTAGGCAGCTATTACTGACAGCGCCACGGTGTCTGTTTCCACCTCTGAAACCATTGAATGACAGTCCTGATCATATTTCATATTCCCTGAGCGCTGCATTGTTTATCAAAACTGAATATAACAGCAGGTCATGCACAACATCACAAAAAAAAGAAATATTATCAGCTAGTTAACGCGTTACAAATTGACATTGACATATGTAAACGATCAAAAACTTAACTCTAAATAATAAACCATACCAGTTATATAAAAGAAAATTTAAATAAATCAAAAAAAGACATATCATCAAGACAGTCCTATTAAAACATGTCTGTAGAGCTGTAGAGCTGCTGGGAGGCTGATTTGGTTGCTTCTGAAGAAAACCAGGCTAGTTGTTTCCATCTGTTTCCAGTTTTTAAGCTAAGCTAACTGGCTCCTGGCTTCTGCTACATACACTATTACCACACAGGCCTAAAGGCGTCCATACTCTCTCATGTAAATCTCAACAAGAAAGCAAATAACTGATTCCCAACATGTTAAATTGTTCTTGAGAACCACTACTGTGACTCTTTGTAATTCATAATGTCTCACAATCAGTTGAAAATATTTATGATTATGACTGAAAAAAAAACTTGATACAGCAGAGTGTCTGTTGTAAAATGTTGGTCTCTGTGTGATAAAGTACTAAAGTTTGAATTAGTGTGAAGACATTTTTTGGCAGAAAACACTGGTTTGGTAGAAAACACTGGTTTGGTTGAACCCAAGTAAGGTTAAAGGTTTAGCTGCAAATCCTTCACCCCAAACTCCACATTTTGCTACATTTCATAATGCATAATGTCTTCCTGAGGCATCATGTTTACCTCATGATATGTCAAAAGGCCGTGGTCCAGTAAGTGCACAGTACAGTATGCTTTCCTCACAGAGTGGAACACTTGGCCTCATCACCCCCACTATTCACTCTCCTCACTAGCTTTGTCAGACTATTACAGTCTCACATTAAAGGGGCTTGGACTTGTTTTAGATGTACGTATGTTGAAAGAGAACACCTACAAACACAGGTTATGTTCAAGTACCCCCCCAAAAAAAAGCACAAATATCTATGTGTGTTTGTCTGTGTGTATGCAGACCTATTTCAAAAGCACGCACACAAAAACACCCACAAAAAAAAGGCAAAAAAAAAAAAACAAGCACTCGACAACACAATAGCATTTCCCACAATGGTTTCTGAGTCTGTGAAATTGGAAAGCACAATGATGCACACAGTGCACAATGGCCTTACAAATTGCTCATTTTTGTGTGAAAATACACCTTTTTTCTAATGTTTCTGTCATCACTCCACCAGGAAGACACACCGTAACAGATTATGTGTAGCTGTCATCTGGTGAGCTGGTAGAGTTCATATGAAATGTAACATCATGTTTTCAGTCTCTTTATTGGCTTCAGATACAGTTGTGGTGTTGTTGCTTACAGCTGGAGAGCAACGAGTGACAGTCAGACGTAAATGGATTCCCTGCGTGTGTACTGCACACACACATATTCTTTTTTCAAAACACCACAGGGTAACCTGAACATTTAGATTAATACAATTTTGACATTTCCGAGGTACTTAATGTTTTTTTTCCTATTTGTCAATCTAAATAAATTACATGTTGTGCCAACAAGTAAAATATACGTCCAGCATTACCTTTAGTAGTGGGTCCCCTGCTCTGTCTTGTTGATATAGATAAAATAAGAGATTAAAGTGGGCTCTATACAATCCCAAAAATGCAAAATAAAGCACAGATCTCCTTAAACATATTGAACATCCAAATACAACATTCACAACTGGCCCTCAAGGCTGTGACACACTGATGTTGGATTTTAATGATACCTGGTAAATCAGGGAGAATTACTGTATGTGGCCTTGTTTTAGCGTGTTTTGGGGAGACTGGGGTGGGGGTAGGACAGACACCCAAATGTGTCCTTAGTAAATAATTTGCTACAGTATGCCTTCACAATAAAGACATGCAAATGTGATCTGGTTGTGATGTGGTAACTGGAGGCTTCTTTGTGGGATGAGTTAATTTGACCAACACTGACCTTATGAAACCTTTTCAGAATTTTTGCATAAATACAAAAACACATGGAGGTTTTCATAATTAATTTTTTTTCAAAAGTAAATTATTAATTATGCAAAATTGCACCATTGTGTGTGCTTACATTTATCATATACAGTGTGCCATTGGGTTATTATTACTGATCCCTTAAGGTAATATAAGCAGCATTTTAATATTTTCAATATTTTTGTACTGTTACATATTTTAATCTAATCATGTGTCATACTCTGTAACGTGGTGTTTCAAAATCTTGCTCTCAAAGCAACCATAACTATAAATGTAGGACTGTAAAGTAACATAAAATAGGATTTACATTAAAATATGTCATTTAAAAACATGTTGAGCTGCAACCCGTTGCACAGTCTATTCAACATGGCACTCACCTGTTTGTTTTCCATCTCCTCTTTTGTGACTCAGACTGGTAACACTGGAAATCAAGATGTGTTTTTCAGGTGGATTCACCATGAAAGGTTCCTAAGTTTAGCACATCTTGCAAAGTCTTACTGGGTGGATACAGCGCTGTGTTTGTTCAGATTGCCTTGATTCCAATCTTTTGCAGTAGCTATCTGTTTAAAAAACAACTGCATGTATGTTTCTCTATAAAATGGAAATTCAAAGAGCAAGGAATTTAAAAAATGCACACATTCACTGGGGAGCACATAACATGAGCAGTTTCGCTAAAATCTTGCGCCCAGACCTAAAGGTCTCAGAAGCTTGAATCGTATGTCAAGGGGAAATGTAGATATAGTTTCTGCTATAGTTCAAATGGAGTGGGGGTCGGGGAGGTGACGTCAGGTCCCATTAGGCTTGCAGACCTCCTATTGGACTACTGGAGGCTTTTTAAAGGAGCAGGCAGCAACGCTGGAGGCTTGTTCTCGTCCTCGCATGAGCTGCAGCTCTCCATCCCTCCGTTCAGACCGCCAGCAGCGGAGCGGCACTGACAGCAGGCAGGTGAGAGCACGGACTCCAAACATGTCGCGGTTTAGGACTGAAACCGAGCTTGAAAGAGGCGAATACAGGGGTTGTGGGAGTCCAACATTTGGTGAGCTGTTGAAGATAGAGAAAATACAGAAATAAAAAAGGCAGCAAAGAGATATTCAGCTCGGACACAGACCGATTAAAATCAATCCACTTTGTGTCAGCAGGATTTCAAATACTTTGCACGAAATGATGCGATGGAGCTTGTTTTTTCCTGCCTGATTCTCTGTTTTCTATCTCAAGGTTTAGACATGATGAGAAAGCAGCAACATGGTGCCCACTGACCTGCAGGATATCAACAGGTATGTGAACAGATCTTTACAAGTGCCATAGTCTACACTTTAGGGTAACACACAGGCAACCACCTTCTCCAGACATCTCTAAAAAGTGAGCCTTAGTCTGTCGTCTGATCCCAGTGCAGTCTGATAGCCCGGTGTTAAGTGATTGCATTGATCTCAAGAGGAGTTGCCCCATTTAACAGCAATGGCAGCGTAATTAGATTGGAGAGAAAAGTTCTCTATCTCGGCGCCCCTGCAAATAGAGCAATGTGTTCCCTTCGTCTTCAGCTCCCGATGGATTAGCAGCATTTCCCTGCCTCCCACCCTGCTTGGGCTTCCTGGGGTCAAACAGCAACAACTCAATGTTTCTCCAACTGAATCAATAGGTGCCCTTTCTCCTATAGGTTGGACACATGAAAGCTAGACAAAAAAGAGGTTTAATTGGTCTTTTTTAAGGTTTTCAAATCGTGAAGTGATAGCTACAGCGGTGGAAATTAAGTGCAGTTTGAAAAGCTCCTGCAGGGCCCTCCTGTCTTTACAAGACTGTAATCTAAGAGATTTTCACTTTTAATAGATGGCTTCTTTTGCACAAGCTCCAACAGCCTTGTCCTTGAACTTATCGCCTTTTTCCTAAAGCTGTGATGAAATGAAAGCTTTTATGAGGGTAAAAAAAGAAAGGGAGGCAGAATACAGATTTCAGCACCGGAGCAACTGACAGTTCCACACATCTGGCCAGATGTCTCCCGGCAAGGACATGTGAGGGAGAGCAAAAAGCATCTTTAGTGAATCTCAAATATACTACACAGGAAGGAACACCAGTGAGGTGATTTTACAGCAGACGTATCTCTAAACATGTCTTCTCACTTAATCTAGCTGTCAAAACCAAATTCAGTCCCACATTTCAGCATGTTAGAGCTAATAGATCGCCTTGGCAAAGGCTCCATAGAACTAATTGAGACCAGAATCGTGCATATTAGAGACTATGGATCATACATATTATTCTTTTTTAATTTTTAATTTTTATTTTACTTTTTTTTGTCAAAGTACCAAATTATTTTGGTTGATTTGCCTTGGGATTTGTCAGTGACAGGCAGCCTCCTTCTGGTGTCAAAATGGAAACTGGATCACAGCCAGGATTTCTTATTTACATACCCCCCTACCCCCCCGCACCCCCCCCCCCCCACACACCACCCCTGAAAAAAGAGCCTGGAAAGGGAGTTAACGCAATCTGAGGCTCACACACAGATACATACATACACCCACATGTACACATAAATCACCAAATGGTGTGGCAACACATACAATCTGTAGCCATGAGAGAAATTCAGTGCTAACAGGTGTTCAAACAGGCCGCTCGGTACATTCTTCCAATTATTGCAATTACATGCTGCCTGGTTACCGCTCCATAATGTACAACTGCCACGGAGGAGACAGAGAGGCTGG